TTTTTTTTTTTTAATTCGTGTGCAGTTGTAGTGTACTGGAAAATAGCTTATAACGTACTTGGAAGTAACGACGAGTCTTTAGAAATATTTTTTTTTACTTTTTGTGAGTCTCTCTGTGATATTCTTTTTGTTTTAGTTTTACACTTTTTTGAGTTATGCTAATTTGGCAATACACTTTACGGTTACTAGTCTTCAAAATAAATTCAAGGTTGCAGTGAAAGTAAAATGATTTTACAGCATGATTTAGGTGTTTTTGTGTTTATAGGTATATTCTAGAATCGTTTGTGTTGGTGTTCTGTTTTGCTCAACAGAAATTGGAGCATTTTCAGGTTCTTCTTAAGTTAACTTTTAGACCAGGTTATTGGTTTTACCGCTGGTAGTTTTTTTAAATTTATTATTGCAGTAAATAACGTAAGATATACTTCACTATCCTTGGTTAGCCTGCTTTGAGATATGAGAAAAGAATGATCATTTTGCGATGGTAATTATCTCAGCCAATATGTCCAGTTAATGATTTACGTTTTTGAGATTGAGGTGCTCCCGACGAATGAGTCGTGACTGTTAAGAACGGTTTCTGGTCTATTGGTTTATTGGAGCAGGAACTTCTTTGTGTATTTTTATTAAGATCTACTGCTTTAGGTGACAACTGCAACAATCGTCTGATTGGACAGATTCACTGCGGATTGAAGGATGGCTGGAAGGCTGCCAGCTTGTATTATTGACAATGGAACCGGGTCTGTTGTTCAAATTACTTTTTATATTTTTTGTTTGTTTATCGAAGTTACTGACAAATATGGGTGCTTAATCATCTCGAGATGCAATTTGACACATTTTAACAGAACATTTTTTGTTAGGTATACTAAAATTGGTTATGCTGGAAACACAGAACCTCAGTTCATCATTCCGTCGGGTTTGTTAACACTTGAAGTTTCCGCACTCCTTAAAGATTACTTAGATAATGATGGTTTCGACTCCTGGGTGCCTTGCTTTTTTTCTTTCACATTTAGTTTTGTTAGATATCCGCACTAAGGTCTTTTCTGGAATTTATTCTATCAGCAATACAATTTTAGATTGAAGTTTTGAACAGCTGTAAAATTTAATGTGCAGAAGGAAATTTTTATTGGTAGTTGAGTCATTTTAAAGTTAAAATTGTTCTGCTGTAACTACTGGTTTCGTTGTTGATCTCTTTCATCTGTACTTTAAAAAGCTTTGAATTCCTTTTTTATAATTTTTTTTTTTCTCAAGAAGTAATGTTTCTTCTTTTGAGAATTTTTGAGGTTCTTTAATGCTTTTGCAGCAACTTAATATTTAAACAGGTGTTACACCGAAATTTTTCTAGTTTTGTGATGAGTGGGTTTTGCTTTGCAGCTATTGCCGTGAAGGAGAAAGTGGGCGGTCAGCGAGCAACTTCTGGACGTATCGATGATCTCGATTTTTTCATTGGGGATGAAGCTCTATCTCCTGCAGCTGCTAATTATTCTGTTAAGGTTAGGACTTTTTAAATCAGTTTTTTACAGCGGGGTTTGTTCTGGCAACTGAACAATTGAGTGGGCCTCATTTGAGACTGGAAGTGTTTGAAGCATTCAGTTTGGTTCTCAAGAGATTGTTGAGCTTTGCCATAGTAGTAATTTTTTATTGTGAGCTTGCAAAAACTGATATGGTCTAGCTGGTTTTGGTCGTTTTTTCCTGCAGTTTTTTTTTTTTGGCAGTTGGGACAAAGGCGTTGAACTATTGTTAAACTTACTAACCACCACACTTCTCTACCTTTCTTAGTTTACAGTTTGTTCTGCTGCAGAAATTTTTTTATTAGGGAATCAGACGAAATTAAAGACTTTCTCAGTAAATTTTTTTGTCGATCGACCTGCAGCTTAGCTTTTGCAAGTCATTTCCTCCTAAAATTTTGCAAAGATGCTTCGGCTTTTTGTATTTAACTGGTTTTTACATATAAATCTTTATAGTCGTCACCATCTTTCCTTTAATATTTCTGTTACATCTTTCGCTTTATTCGTGTAGGATCAGGTTCTTTTACAAAAACATACTTTTTAGTATTTATTGATGGTACCGTTGTCTTTTTACAAGGGCGCTCTTCTTGTGGAAGATTTTGCGAGTTGAACTTTCTCATAAAACTTCAAGTTCATCTGTTTTGTTTTGTCTATATTTTTTTTATTTCTTTAAAATTCAGTATTAAAATTCGATGATCTTTATTAAAAGATTTTTAAATGTGGATTTAGTGAAGGTAACCTGTCTGTGTATTACATTAAGTACGTTGTAGTGAAACAGTTTTTTTATGCACATTGTATTTCCAGAAATTTATTCTTGAAATTCACAATTCTTTGCTTGATCTACTTTTTACTATAGGTTATTTTTATTGTTAATTAGTGCTTATAATCATACTTGTATCCTCTTTATAGTATCCGATCAGGCATGGCATTGTTGAGGACTGGGATCTTATGGAAAGGTTTTGGGAGCAGTGCATCTTTAAGTACTTGCGCGCTGAGCCAGAAGATCATTTTTTTCTGTTGGTAAGTGAAAAAAACTTGGGTGTGATAAACTTGGACTGGAATCATCATGTTGTCATGATTATAGTAGTTTCTATTTTTTTAAGTGTTAGGGTTCCACTGGAAAATTTGAAAGTTTAGACGGGTCTTGTAGATGTTTCTGGTAAAAAGCAAATAGATATTTGGAGTATTATTTCTCTTCATTTGTCTTCTGATTAGTTCCCACGAATTTTTTTGCCCTGGTAATCCACAATACTCTGTTTTACATTTTTAAAAAATATGGGATGTAATGTACAGTAATAATTTGCACGTTACAAATAATTTATTTCTTAAAGTCGCTATTCGTGCTTCAAGGGTTGTGTAAATCAAAAAATTTTTCAAATTTTTTATATTCTTATTTACTTTTATCGCTTTTTTTTTTTTATGAAGACGGAGCCACCTTTGAATACACCAGAAAATCGCGAGTTTCTTGCTGAAATTTATTTCGAGTCGTTTAATGTTCCTGGACTCTACATTGCAGTACAAGCGGTGCTCGCTTTAGCAGCATCGTGGCAAAGCCGTGACGTTTCGCAACGCTCGCTTACTGGCCTGGTAAGTGCCACCTCATTTCCATTATATTAGTTATTTATAATGAAACAGTTTGTACAGACGTAAAGAGATTTGTTATAAGGTTTTCATTCGGATTTGAGCATAATTTTTCTAATTGCATTTGGCTGCTGAGCTATTATGCGTCAAGCTGCACACTTCAGCCAGTATCTTAGATTTTTCCCATATTTGCACAGACTATAAACTTTCGAATTGGATTTGTAAAATTATTCGCTTTACATTCCTAGCCATTTTTGGAGGTGGAATGGACGACGTGCCAAGTTGCAAAGTTTGTACCATCTTGCTCCACGTGGTGTAACTTGAGAACATGAAACTTTTGCTATTTTTACTGAATAAGAATTTTTTAAGATTTTTTCTTTTTTTTGAAAAGTCATGTCTTAAATTTTTGGAACTATTTTTTTAAAGCCAGTTTTTTTGGAATTTTGCAAAATAACAAGTTATAAGTCTGAGTATTTTAGCAAAAATACTAGGTACTCAGTTTTTTCCTGAAAACATTTGTTGCATAATTCTTTTCTTTATTATTCGTCATAAAGTCCGTCTTGAGACGGACGTAGATTGAAGGTTTGAAGGAAGAAGAAAGATGAAATTTGTAGACTAACACTGAAATGGGGCATTTCGTAACCCTGTAGTTAAACTTGTAGTTTTTCAATCTAGTGTAGTGTATTTTAAGAACACCATTTCTAGCATTGTTGTAACCTGCCGGCTGTATTGTAATGAAGGAATGCTGAAATAACCTGTGTCATTGTGGTTTTTCTTAGCCTTTTCCTCATAACTCGCTTTTCCATTTTTTTTCCAGGTCGGACTTCACATCGAGTTATAGGGGTCTAAATTTCACACAAAATAGGTTTCTTAAAAAAATTGAAAAAATTTCAGAGCCTGTAACTTATATCTTTTTTGTAATCTTCCAAGAAAAGTAACTTGAAGAAGTAGCTTAGGAAGTCCAAGATATGACTTCTAAAAATATGAAGACATTATTTCTTGAAGGTAGCGAGAGTTATATCTCTCCAAAATAGTCTCAAAAGAGTGAAGGGAATAAAACCAACGATTCTGCAGTTGTGAAATTAAGGCTTGTAGTCTGTGGGAATTTTTGAAGAGGATCTAAGATGTTGACTGAGGAAAGTGCGATTTAACCTGTAATGGTTCTGTTGTATTTCCATTCAGATTTTCTTTTGTTGTATTCTGAACGTTTAGGTCGTAGATAGTGGTGATGGAGTTACTCACTGCATACCAGTTGCGGAAGGTTACGTCATTGGTTCTTGCATCAAACATATTCCTATAGCTGGAAGGGACATTACTTACTTTATACAGCAGATTCTTCGTGAACGAGAGCCAAACATACCTCCTGAGCAGAGCTATGAAGTTGCTAAAGCAATAAAGGTTGTTTTTAGTAGTGGTTTATGGATGAATGACAGAATGTTTTGTTAATTTTTGGAAATTTCTTAGTTGTAGTTCTACTTTTTTTGGCAAGAAATTTGAGCATCTTTTCAATTTTAGTGGTTCTAGAACAAAGGTCTGGAGTTTATGAATAAAAATTTTCAAGAAAATTACAAGGTGCAGGGGGTGTTTACTTTTTTTTAGATTTCCGATGGAGTACCGTGTATGCACAGGGGAGGGCTTGGGAACGTTGTTCAGATAAGGATTGAACAGCGCTACTATAGAGATTGATTTGATATGAAACGGAAATGCAGTTATTTCTTGTATCCTTAGTGTATTTGCAAAAACGGTGTACTTGGCCCCTTAACTTGCAAAAGTGTCGCATATGCTTCTAGAGGCGCATCTAAAACTTTCATATTTTAATCTAGTGAAGACATGGAAGTCACAATTTCAGCTATTAATAAGCTGTTGGGGATTTTTTTTAAAAACTTTTTGTTTGTCAAATAAGTTGAACTTTTTAATTTTACAATACTCATTGTTTCTAACTCAAGCTACACTATGAAACTTGAAAAAATTGTTGTGAATTGTTCCATCAAACTCCTTTTTGTTCATTAAAGATTACGAATCTTTTTATAAAGTTGAAGGTTGGCTTAGGTTTGAATGATCAATATTTCTGTTTTCCAGTTTTTATCTTTTTAGACGTATGATTGATTAGCGTTAATGTAGTGATTAGTCGATATTTCAGGGTGTAGTTAGAGTAGGTATCTAATATTAATAACCTTGTTTTTTTTTTAAGGAGGGTGGTGGACTGGCTGGGTGAAGGGCAGTAATTTTTGAATTTTTTTTTTTTTAAACTGTATATGGGAAAGAAGAGCAATTTATTTTAGAATTCTTGTAAGGTGCGTTCTTATGTGGACTTATACTGCAAATTTTCCTTAATTACATAGATATTTTATTGTGATTCGTCAAGTTCAAAAATTAACTATATTTTTTGAGATTTATTTATGTAAACAACTTTTATGTTGGTACCTTTCTGTTATTTCACCAAGAAAAAAATTTAATAGTACTTAAAGTAATGTTTGTCAACGAACGTCCAGCTTTTTGAGCTTGCATTTTGGCTCTGTTTACACAGGTGACGCAGGTGACGATTGAAAAAAAGTGTTTTTGGTTTTCCAGATTCTTTTTAAATTGGCTAGAATGGCGGTGCTTGTTTTTATTTTACAGGACAGATTAATGTTTAGGAAAAATATTGTTATGTCTGCCCTGACCTCCTTCGAGAGTTCACAAAGTACGATTCTGATTCAGCAAAATGGATGAAGGTATACAATGGGGTGAACAATGTGACGAAAAAGCCGTTTGATGTGGATGTTGGATATGAACGTTTTCTGGGACCTGAAATATTCTTTCATCCAGAAGTCTGGTTTTTTTTCGTTATCATCGTAGTACATCTCATTAAACAAATACTCGCCTAGTCATGTGCAAAAATTGTTTACCAATGAGGGAAGAACCATGATTTTAATGGGGGGGAATATCAATTTTTTTATTTTAGTTTGCTAATCCGGAATTCACCATTCCTATTTCTGAAACTGTCGACATGGTAATTCAACAGTGTCCCATCGACGTACGACGTGGTTTGTATGAAAATATCGTCTTATCAGGTGGTTCAACAATGTTTAAGGATTTTGCGCGAAGAATGCAAAGAGATATCAAGCGTATATCTGATGCCAGGCTTGCATTAAGTGAAGAGCTC